TACTTCGTTACTTCCCATCTCTGGATTTTATGGATACTCAGAAGCCATAACATCCACCTAAACTAATGGCACGACATAACAAATCTATGTAAGGTAAAAAAAAAAATAAAAATAAAAAAACCCTGTCAGGATTGAGCGCAAGCAGAGTCCTGTAGTTCTGTGTTTTGGCCACAGGTGGTGGTATCATTAGAAAACTCTATAATTCCTCTTTAACAAAATAGGGAAATTCTTGCTTCTTTAAGCTAAAAATTTACGAAGGAAAATATAGATTTTTTTTTTTGTTTGTTTTGTGAATAAAATCGTAATATTATGAGAATAAAGTCATAAAAATACGAGAATAAAGTCAAAAAATTACGAGAATAAAGTCGTGGCATTACGAGAATAAAGTCGTAAAATTGCGAGAGTAAAGTAACATTACGAGAATAAAGTTGTAATATTATAGGAATAAAGTCCTAATATTATGAGAAAAGGTTATATTTTATGACAACTCTTACAAGAACAAATTTCTTCCCTAAAATGAGGAATTTTGAGCATCATGTGAAGTTATACTTGGGCATTGGTTGGACAAATAAGGAAATCTTATCAGATTCGTCAGTATGTCAAAATGGACTCAGGTTGCTGTTTGGTGGAGCTGGTCAGCCGTTATAAGCTGGTCGGAGCTCAAAGCTTTCTTTCTGAAACATTGTGATATGATGACTTCATTCTCGTAATTTTTCTAATTTATTTTGTAATATGACAACTTTATTCTAATAATGTTACTAATTTATTTTTGTAATATTACAACTTTACTCTTGAAATAAAAAAAAAATAAATAAAAACATCTCTAACCTGGCCCTGATACTCCGTTGTAAAACTATTTTTATTATAAATATTATTTTATGTTATTTAGTTCCCTTTCTGTATCTGGAGCATTTGAGTTTGGTTTTTTTTTTTCAGTTTGTCTAATAAACTCCAATATCTCCACCTGACAAACCCAATTTAGCTTAATTGGATTTTCTGTCCCTTATCAACTGTTTTCCTGTTCAGAGTCTCGTTTTTTATTTTAGCAACAGCTGCTTTCCTGGTTGGGCTCAAGTTATTCTAAGCACCTTTGGTCACTCTGATGTTTTATAAAAGTTGCTTCTAAATTGAAGTATAATTAACTGACCTCAGCCTCTTCAGTGTGCTAATCTATGAACCACCTGTGAACCCAGGTGACTCTAACGAGAACAAACCATTGGTGGGAGCAGAGGAGGAAGAGGTGGCCAAGATGGGCTGTCCCAGTCTGGGCGAACACACACAACTGGAAGTGATCATAGAGGAATCCTACGAGTTTAAGGTAAGTGTGTGGCGCTACTGTGTAGAAATCTTCATACTGCTTAACTTTTTTGACATTTTTGTTATATTACCATAACAAGCTTTTTGTAATTGACCAAAACAAAGTCAAGAGTAACTCTGAAATTTAAGATTAAAGAGAAAGTCATGATTGCAGATTTATAAAAGCCAGCAACCAAACAATGACCAATCAGAGGCCTCCTGTCTACGGCAATGTCTGTGATCACCTGCAATTTTGGAGAGGTGCAGCAGAGTGTCTGCAGAGGGGATGGGGGCACATTTGCATTCACTGCGACACACGCAGACGACCTGGTTTCTGAGTATAAATCAGCCTCATGACTTGAATCATCATGATGTGAGTGGGGTCTTGTTTTCAGCTAGGAAGGGTACAGTAAGCTGATCGGGGTTATTAGTGAACTAAATATAAGGTAATTCTAAAAGAATGCTTTTGTAAAGGCTGCAAAAGACTTGAGAATGATGGTAGTTTACCTACCACCAAAAACACGGTCCTAAATACACTGCAATAACTAAGTTAATTTGCTTAAATTACATGAAAATAATTCTTCCAAAGTCCAGATTTTATCTGTGGTAAAATGCTCTCTATCTAATCTAATTAAGCTCAAATTGTTTTACGAAGGAGTGTAAACAATAAGTTAAGCTGCAAAACTAAAGGAAAGGAACAAAGGACTTACAGTAGGTGTCCCTATAAAGCATTGGCTCAGGAATGCTGAATCCAAATAAATACCAATCCTTTTTCAGATATTATTCATCTAAAATTAGTAAAACTCACATGTTAATATCCTTCCCCTTTAGAATGATGTACTAATTTATGTTTGGCTGCCACACAGACTCTGATTAGAGAATATTAAAGATTAAAATGTGCTTAATCTAACAAGTATGAACACATTTTGTCAGAACACTGCAGTAGATGCAAGGTGGTAAAATATTTGATTTAGGTTTTGTCGAATGAATAGTCTCGAAAACTTCTGTTCCTCCCTTTTGTGCAAACATACTCATCCATTTGTTAACAAGTAATGGACCATGCAAAGTAATCCTCCCTCCTGTGATGTTATTAGATCAGGCTTAAAAAATGGCTAAATAAATCTTACTAATCATATTCTACCTCTAGAAATCTGATTTCAATTTGGGGGGAAAAAGGTAGCCGGATGCTCACTGATCCAGAAAATAAAAAACCTTCAAGCTTACTGTTCATTTTAATACATATTTCAACTTTTTGGATGTAATTAATTTAGCAAAGCACCATTGAGATAGCTAAATTATCCATGCACATATCATTACAAATGACTGTATGGCATTTCTTGCAAGCAGCTCATTACAACATCCATTGTCACTCTTTGTTATTTTGTTGCTCCATTTGCTCCGTTTTCCATTTCTTCATTTTGTTTGAATTTTAATGTGTCAGATCATTTGTGTTCTTTCATTAATTCATCTATTTTGCTTCATTTTTCTATTTCTGTTGTGTGTTTGTGTGTGTGTGTGTTCATGCATGCATGTTTAGAAAGCAGTAAACACTCTTCTTAGACGTACTGAAAAGGTATCGCTCTCTCATTGTATCTTTTGTTTGCGCTTCACTCTGCTTGCTAACTTTCAATCCTCTATAGTCCTTCTACACAAACAAAAAACAGCAGCGGATAATTACAGATTTACTCATTTATTAATACATTTTTTACTTGCATGATTTTGTCTAAACTGTGGCAGCTGGATTACGATAATGCCAATACTAGTCACTATTTCGAACTTTAATTTTTTGCATATTTCTTTTCCATTTCAATACACTCTTCTCAGAATTGCCAGAAAAAGTGCCTGAAGGCCTTTTCTTGATTTCTTTGGAAGCGTCACTTAAAACATGGCATGCAAGCACTGTTTAATTAACACATCCTGTACCTCAAGTTCTATGTCTAAATATACTTCTGCTCCTTGGTTGTGAATTTCAGGACTTGAAAACAGTATTTTTCTCTTTCTCTGTGGTTGAATCGAAAACTGGGGGTTGTGTTTTTCTTGCCTGGTCGGTATGCATTTGCATGCTTGCCTCTGTGTTTGTGTGTGTGGATGTAGAATACAGTAGATAAGCTGATCAAGAAGACAAACCTGGCCTTGGTGGTGGGAAGCAGCAGCTGGAGGGAGCAGTTTGTCAGTGCCGTTACTGTTAGTGCAGGTAACACACACTCACTCTCTATTTATGTTTAAATATTTTTTACTACAACATTACAGTTCAACTGCGGTTTTGATTAGAGTGCTTTTTGTATAAAAGACTTATATCATTGATACGATCTCCCAACAGAAGAAAATATCCCCCTTTTAGTTTTAGGGTTTCCCACATCAGGATGTAAATTAAAAAAAAGGTAGAAATTTGTATGAGAGTTTTCTGCACTGCAAAAACGATCTAGAAATAAGTAAAAATTTCTTAAATTAAGTGTATTTACCCTTAATTTGAGTAGGTAAATATGATGATTTGCCAATGAAATTAGTATCTTTACTCTTAAAATAAGATAATTAGATAATATGAACTTAAAATAAGACAATGCAATTGTTTTTTTTCTTATTTTAAATGTAAATTGTCTTGTTCCATTGGCAAAGTGTCTCACTTTCATCCTCAATTGGAGAAAAAATGCACTAACATTAAGAAAGTATGACTTACTTAGATTTCCATTTTTTGCAGTGTAGTAACACTGACAACTTAAAGCACCTAACAATGCAGCCACATTCATCTAAATGCCCTCTCATATGCACATAACGATACATCAGCTCAGTAGGCAACTTAAACTTAAGTACCTTTCCCAGAAGCATAATCATTTTTAATGTGCTCCCTGATAACTTTTCTAATTATATTTTATTGATACCTTTTTCGATAACTTTTTTTTTATCAAACAAAAGGTAAATAAATAAATAATAACCACTGACTGTTTAATTTTAAAACATTTGTAAAAACTTAAAAATTTCGGTTTTTTACATAAAGAAAACAATAAAAATTTAGATAGCAATAAAAATATGAATGTAGACTAAGGAAACTGCTTTTTCCAAAATGGATGACGTTGACCTGCATCATTATTCATGTCAATCTTCTGCTTATGTAAAGGGGACGATGATGAGGAAGAGAGTGGTGAAGAACGGCTACCTTCCTGCTTCGACTACATCATGCACTTCCTCACGGTTTTCTGGAAGGTCCTGTTCGCCTTTGTCCCGCCCACCGAGTACTGGAATGGCTGGGCCTGCTTCTTTGTCTCCATATCATTGATCGGGGTTCTCACCGCCGTCACCGGGGATCTGGCATCGCACTTCGGCTGCACAATAGGACTAAAGGACTCTGTGACGGCTGTGGTTTTTGTTGCTTTGGGGACATCGGTACCAGGTAAGTCAGGGTGGTATTAGAGTTTTTGGGCAATTTTCTATCCTAATGCATTTGTTTTAGCTGTCTTTAGAAATAAGGTTATTTCAAAGAGCTTGACTTAGTGGAGTTAAAATACAGAGACACCACGTCACATGGGGACTGGTCTTTGTTGTATTACAAGTTAACATTCTGTAGAATATTCATTTCCTGAACAGTTTGTCAATTATGTGTAGATTTTATTCAAAGACAACAGAATTCTGATTAGTAATTGGTTTGTGAAATCCAGCCAATCGCTGTCTGCCTTTTAACCGAGACTGGACTGCTGGGGACGCAGAACCAGCTCATTCTAGAGGATCTCTAGCAGCTACCTGGCCAGATGGGTTATATAGTCTCTGGGTCTTCCCTGAAGTAACATGTCCAGAAACCTCCAAACAAAAAAACAAAAACAGAGTCCAAAACACAAAACAACCCAGGGTGGGTGAGGACAATCACATTCCGTTAACGGAGGCCAACAAAGTCTCAGGAAGATGGCCGTGAGGAAGGCGACAAAGGAGGACCTCTGGAGGCTGGCCTCTCTGGGGCCACGACGAAGTGGTACAGCATGGGACCTACAACGAAACGGCACAGCTTGGGACCCTTGACAAAGAGGTGATGAGCTTCCGCTGAGGGGCCTTGAAGGCGAGGAGCACCCGCTGAGGGGCCTTGGAGGCAAACTCTAAATGAGCTCTAAATCAGTGGATTCAGGGGTTTGGACGGCACTGAGTGGGCTCAGGGAGAACTAAGGAGGTCTAATCCTGAAGAAGGAACACCAGAGGGGTCTAACCCTAGAGAGGGGACACTGGAGGGCTCGGAGATTAGAAAGGGAACACTGGAGGGCTCTGAGACTGGTAAGGGAATACTTGAGGGCTCTCAGACTGGTAAGGGAATACTTGAGGGCTCTCAGACTGGTAAGGGAATACTTGAGGGCTCTGAGAATGGAGAAGGAATGCTAGAGGGGTCTAAGCCTTGAGAGGGAAAACTGACCTGGTTGGGTGGTGGAGAGAGGCTTGAAGGAGGAGTATGGTTAGCAGCAGATTCTGAAACCTGTGAATCTGATTCACAAAAAAGTTAATTTGTTCAGAAAATGTGTTTAAAAACCTGCCCCGTTGCTCATCCAGTTGTTTCACCTCCAATTGTAACAATGCCAGTTGCTCCTCCTGTTTATTGAGCTGTTTCTCTTGGTGCCCAAAACTGCTGGGTCCATATCTGACTGGTTTGTGCTGTCAAGTTGGGTGGAGGGTTGACAGGACCCAAATGCAGCGAACTGAAGCTGAAGGTTGTTACTTGCAGATTAATAAGGAAAAAAGGGTAACAGAAGGAAAAATCCCAAAAACATGAATCCACAAAAACTAAGAGCCAGTAATACTCACAACAAGTTGGCAAAGAAATGAGGACAAACCAGCAACAGATAAAATCATTTCAATTTCATTATTGCTAAAAATATTGCATTCAATTCAGTTATTTCATTTCAATTCAATGTAGTTTATTTATATAGCCCCAATTCACAACACATTTCATTTCAAGGCACTTTAAAACTCAACCATATCATATATTTAAATTGATTCAAAGTTTTCTATCTAAGGAAAACCAGTCGATTTCATCGACTCATTGACTCCGATGCAATCCCTCACACTAAGCATGCTTGTAGCGACAGTGGAGAGGAAAAACTCCCTTTTAACAGGAAGAAACCTCCAGCAG